GATTGTATGTATGTATGAACACTTCAGTTTTTATATATGTGTAACACCTATTGTAAAAGAAAAGAAAAAAGGAAAACCCAAAACCAATGGCGTATCAAATCAACTCTGTCTCTTGTGATCTATTTGTGATGCTATGAGAGATGCAAATAGCACTCAACTCTTTTTATGCCTGTTAACGTTTTAAACAATACTCTAMACTCTATTCTATACTTAGACTATGCAATACATTTTGGCATTACTCTTGCGAGAACAACTCTTGAAAACAATCATGCACAATAAATAATAAAACCGAAAAAGATGAAATTATAAATTAAAGCCAAATTTAAATACTTATATATATACATACTCTTTCATATAGACTACTTCAAGTAAATTGTGTGAAACTTCGTAAGCCCTTTAACTTAGATTTTAAATGTGCTAACAACTATTTATACATAGAAATGTACTTAAATTATGTATGTATGTATTAATTATCTAACAAATACGTACTATGGGAAAAGACATATACAAGATGCAGGCAGTCTATACACCTAAGTAGGATTGAGATTGAGATTGAGCAACTTTAACAGTTTTAAGGATTGTGACAAAATGTACGCGTACAATTTAACTCGACAAACAATTGAATTTAAATGTTTAATAAATATGTGTGGATATAAATGTGTTKGACTATCATTTTTTGTACAATTCTTAAGYTATTCATCTAAAAACAATGGATCCAAGCTGCATTTGTTTGGCTCCGCCTCATAGTTATACTCCTGCCGATCGTTCAGCTTCTGTCCCATGCTCCGYACAACATTATCGGAATGATCATTGTTGGCCTCTTCAATGAGSAGCTGCAAACAAGGCATTACTGACATGAAATAAAAGTGCAKASGGGTTCTTTACCTCAATTTCCCGTGCAAGAAACGCTTCGCTAGCTTCGCCCAATCCCTTCCGTGTCTGTCCAGTTAGAGCATTCTCAAGAAAGCCGTATACCTCACTGAAATTAAGTCAACATAAATATTTATGTACCCATAAGCTGGCTATGCAACTTGCCTCATGTCGATGCCACCCAGTTGAGCCGGCTTTGGTTGCACCTCCGTGCGCACTATGCTATTCATCACGGCTGCTGCTTCGTATTCGCACAGTTTHGACAATTCCGCATTGTTTAACACCTCTAGCCATTGATTTATGTGGCTTAGGCTAACCGAATCACATTCATGATTCACACGCACCTCAGCATCCTTGTAGGCGTGGCATATATACTCTATATACATACATATAATAATTTCATTACTCAGCTGAACACGACGCAAATGCTCGATTTTTTACCTATCGCACGCTCCTGATTTTTTCGCCTTGCCCTCGCAACGGCNAGAATTAAAGCTGATTATGTATGTTTTACATATTCCTAAATATTTTTAAATTAAAATCAATTATTATAGAAGTGACCATAATAGGCATACGCTTGCAAATTATGCACAGATTCAACTCAAATTTGGCCACAATGAATTACTCAGTTTGGTTTATGCGTTTTGTTGCACAGTGTGATTCGCAAACAGCGAACAGTGTTAGAATACGAGCGAGAGTGAGCGGACGCGCGATTGCACTGCCTGCAGCCACTGCCAGCAAAGTTGGATGATTAACTCCCTTTGTTTCAAATGAAATCTTATCAAAAAGCATAAGACTTAGCTAATTTTATAGTTTGGCCACCAAGTGCAATAATAAATTGAATAATTTGCTTTTGAAAAAATAAGGATCAACTTTTGCAAGAGAACAAAAGAAGTCAACGTGAAGCGAASCCAGTTAAAGTGACTCATTTCGTCAACCATTTCCATTTCCAATTCCATATCCATCTCTATTGATATTGCCATTGTCATTGTCATTGCCATTATCACTGCCTGTTRCGCTGCGTCCGCATTGCGCTCAACAAACAAAACGAAACGAAACGAACCGAAAATAGAATTAACGTCCTCGAACTCGAGGCTCCATATATAGAAAGATCGTTGCACAGCATGGAGGAAGTGAGAGAGCGAGAGGTCGATCAAGTGCAAGAGCGGGAGCTTGGCATGCAGCAGAAGCACCGCCAGCACATTAAGAAAAACATAGAGAAACTTATCAGAATTACCGACTACAATGTTATAATGACGGAAACCGTTCGCAGAGGTCTACTCTCGCCCGTGATGCGCCGCAACATTGAGGCTCTGCAGTTTATGGGACCACATCAGAGTGAGGAGCAGGTGCAGCTAGATCGGAGCCGAAAGTACTTTGAGAAGATTACAAAGCGTGGACCCACTGCCTATGCAGAGCTGAAGGCTATTCTTAGGAGTTTGAAGTACATTGAAGCATTGCGTATACTAGAAGAGATCGACCCACCGAACAATGAATTCGTATCGTTGAGTCGTGCGCATTCCAACAAATCCACGGATATTGTTGACAATCGAGTCAGTGAACCGCCCGATGATCAGCCAAGTGTTAGTAAGCCAATCGTAAGTAGCTTCGCTTTCAACACTCGGATTTGTAAGCTAACTAAATTTCCTTTGCAGGTTTTGCATAATGATGCAGATGGTCCCTTGCAGCCCTTTGTTGGGGAATTGAGTGGCCAAAATCGCCAGGTCATCAAGTCTACTCGGATTCACACTGACAATGTGCTGGGCGCATACACCATGAAGTCGAAGCAAAATCGCGGCGTTCTCTTCATAGTGAACATCATTGACTTCCCGGATCCCGAGAAAAAACGAAATGGTGCAGATGTAGACAGTGAATCGTTGATTCACATCTTCCGTGAAATTGGATTCACGAC